AATCCTGATCTGTTGTAAAGCATTAAGTTTGCGCGAACTATGGATGCTTGCGAAACACTGGATGAAAGGAAATTCGACGTGTCCGATCAACTGTAGTCTAGTTAATGAAATTTGAGTTGTAAGTTGATAGAACTTGGGGTATACAAAAATCATTTAAAAGACTCACCTGTGATAAAAAAAAAAATGCAATGATTGGCAGTGCAGAGGTATTGCTGCGTAGCTGAGATAATTCCGTCACATGAGCAATGTAGGCTGGCTGAAATGGGGTGGCGGAGGGTACATTTTTGTTTTGACAAGACAGCTAACGAACGGAACGAAAACAAGAAGACTTAGGCGTTATCTATCAAATAGTTTTCTAAAGTAATTATTTTTACGGATATGATCTGACTGCTTAGCTTTAAATTACTAACGAGTCACAGAAACGATAACATACACCCGAAAGTTGGTCATCAACCGAGCAATAAAATGCAGCTATCGAAACAATTATTAACCAAAATTATATGTTATTCAATTACTTTAAAATAAAAGCGTTTTAACAAAAAAGGACAAAAAAGCTTCAGATATCAAAATTTTAAAACGTAAAACAAAATTGAAATGTCATTCAAAGAGTTGAAAGCTTCAGATATCAAAATTTTAAAACGTAAAACAAAATTGAAATGTCATTCAAAGAGTTAAAAACCTAAAAAATGACACACATTTCGCACAGCACAGAATTTGCTCTTTCTGCTAGCTCTTCATCGTGAATCAAAATATATGTCCTTGCTAGAGGATTTAATTCACAAAATTGATCTTTAATACAGGGTCAATAATGTTTCCAAGAAGTTTAAACAATCAAACCCTGCAAAAACTTATAGATGACAAACAGTGCACTGAAGTCCCGCATGAGGGTCTGGATGGGGGTTAACAGAAGAGAAAAAATGGACCAAAAAATAAATAAAAGAGAGTGATCGGGTGCTAAAATATAAAAAATACAGAGAACTGGACAAAAATATAAAGAATAGAGAAATCTGGCCTAAAATCAAAGAATACAGAAATGAAGGATCCTCCATCCAGACCCACAAAGAAACCAAGTAAAATATAAACAAGGATGCATATATATCTGAGTTAATCATCTGTAACCACGGGGTCATGTTTTTGTAAATATTAAGTTATCTGTCTATGTTAATCCTGTATAAAAATGAAATTAAAACAAGAAAATATTGTTATTGTCTTCCAGGACACCCTGAACAACAACTTGAACAAGGATATATAAGTTTTTGTTTAATGATATTTATCATTTTATTGTAACAATAAACTACAAAATCATCTTATCGGTCAACAAGTACAAAAAAAGTGTACTATATGCATTCAACGGACTATATACATAACAAAATTTACGAATGAAGTATTTTATGCGTACCACATTAACATAACCTAATACTATGAAAGCTTATCTAAAAATAGATGATACTTTGGACTAACATTGTACTTCAGGGGACGACGATTTGATATTATAGGGGGATGGGAGGATTTTTTGCGGATTGGCTATTCATTTTAATCTGCTGCTATGCATGCTTATTTTTCCACAAGGTTTCGCCAGAAGTAATGTATGACCATTGGCGGATCAAGGGGGTGGAGGTTCCGGGAGTTTGAACCCCCTCTTTGTATATTAATATTTATTTTATTTGAATTTATTTTTAATTATTTGACAGTTTATACTGTTCCGGGGACTTGACCCCCCCCCTTTTCAAAATGCAAAGATCCACGGCTGTACGAGTGTTAGATTTGGGTTGACAGAGTCGGCAAAAATACCGAAGAGTAAGAAAAATTACTTTAAAAATAAAGAAAAGAGAAAAATAACATAAAAAAATGTAGAATAAAGACAAATTATCTAATAAAATAAAGAAAACAGAAATGAATCACCTTTTTGTATGTAAACAATTATTGATTTCAATTTAATTACACCGCTTTTAAAAGTACAATTGAAAGTTCATTAACCGTTAACCTTAACTATAATAAGAAGTTTTACTTTTTTTGTATTACATGCGAATTTACATAATACATCATTAGACACAATGTATACATGTACGTAATATTTGTAAAATTGATCAAGTTATAAGGATATAAGAAAATGTATTAAAATTGATTAGGTTTATTACAGTCATAATAATGATATTCAAATTGAAAAAAAAGTTGAATATGTATTATATACTTAAATCGCTTAGTTTTATTATAAGACAAGCGTAAAACCTACGTCATTTGGTCTCAGGAGTAGAGTTATCTAATTGGCAATCATACCACATCTTTTTTTTGTATAAACGATAGAATTTTAAGACACAATATAGAAAGATAGCTCTTATAATGTTCTCTCAGAAATTAGAAAGAAGAAAATTGTGTCACGGAACTCGTTTCCTTGCTACACATCAAAAAAGCTTAATTAATACACATTCTTTTATCAAAGGGAGGCTATCTCAGTTATTCCCCCTTATGTGGCTACGTTGTTAAATAATTAACAAAAAAAAATAATATTCTGAAGCTGTACAAACAGTCGAAATAATCAGACATAACACGTAATTTTCTACATTCGGATGAGAAGTCTGACAAATATAAACATTTCGTTTCAAATATTATTAGTCTTCATATCTCTAAGATATTTTTAAAAAGTTTTAAAGAACAAAAATTAAAAGGTTTTGTTTATTTATTACTCTTGGAAATGTAAATATGTGCAACGCAGGGAACATAGGTAATTTATTATGCATATTCAAACGTCTGAATATTTCACAGAATCTGAGCTTTATGTTTTTTTGACGCACGTACTGACAACGAAAGTTTTTTTGTTTTGAGGAATTACTAAATCACACATGACTCAAATTTGCATAATAATTATGTATATTTAAATAAATTATTGATATATACGAATACAAGAAATTCGTAGACCTGAGTTTAAACCTTTTCCAGCTATGAAAATACTAACAAAAACTCATTAACAAAAGATCGACAACTGATTTAACTATAACAATCTTGAAATATATACAATTAAAACCAAAAACAAAAATGCGTGTACAATTCTAAAAATGACGTAGGTCAGGGTATATATATATATACAAAATATCAAGCTCCTGAACGTCCCGGGTCTATTAATTCAGGGTTTCCTCCTTCACTGTAATTTTTATTACATAATCTGACTAGAAAACTGTCGTCAAGGATGATTGTGGTCAAGTTTAGATTCAATAGGCGCGGTAGTTTTAGAGGAGAAGATTGTTTTGAAAAATATCAACGGACGCATAATGATGAGAAAAACGCACTTTTAAACAAGTGAGAGGTTTCGCTAGATATAAAACCAATTTTAGTCCACCATTTTCTACATAAGGAAATTGCTGTACCAAATCAGGAATATGACAGTTGTTTTCTATTCCGTTTGATGTGTTTGAGCTTTTGATTTTGCCATTTGGTTAGGAACTTTCCGTTTTGAATTTTTCTTGGAGTTAGGTATTTTTTTTTATTCTACTTTTTAATGGAATAAGCTCAAATTTGACCCAGATTTCTTCATGTTTCAAATTAAAAGAAAAGCATCAAATCAAAAACTTTTCTAACATAAAATTAAATCCTTTTTAACCGTCCAATTATTTTCTCTCCAAATGCTCGTAACTCAAAATCAAGCTCGGGGACCTCTTTTTCACTATTATTCAGAGCACGAAATGCATTGCTTATTTTCTATCAAAAGACTTCTACGAGAAAGAAATTACTTTTTTACAGACAGCAGCGAAGATGCTTTTATTAATTCATCGTATCAATTTATCGTATAAATTCACCGTATTAATTTATCGGGTTAATTCCCTCCCGATGAAATTATATTAACTCAAAAACACATACTACATACATATAGTATATTATAGATGAAAGAAAGGTCAACACAAAATTCAAGGTATTTACAGTGGCCAGTGCCCGCCCCCCCCCCCCCCCCCCCCCCCAAAAAAAAAAAGGGAAAAAAGAAAAAAAGTGAGAGGCGGTGATATTAAAGGGATATTCAAACTCAAACGTCGAAGACCGACAACGCCATTGCAAAAATCGACAAAAAGAAATGAAGTCTACTAAACACAACATAAAACAATAAAGACTGAGCAAACACGAACCCTACCACAACCCGGAGGTGATCTCATGTTTTCCCGAATAGTAAACGAATCCTGATAATATGTGTCCGGCATCTGTCCTGTTGCCTATGTAAGTGCAATTTCGGTGATAAGTCTAATTCGATGATGTTACATTCGAAAAAAAGAGGACGGGATTGTGGTTACGAAAAAAAAAACATAAAACAGTCAGTTGACCAACTACCACCCTAACTAAATTAAATTATTGGTAAACGCAGGTACTTAGAAAGGAAAATCAGTTTCAGCACCACTGGTGGCACCGGTTGTGTTGCTTATATAAATCAGTAATACACCAATTTAGATACATCTTTAATAATGAAATGGATATTACCGTTTATCAAACAATATTAGGGTTATCTATGGTACAAACAAATCTTTGCCAACCAAAACGGTTATTTGGTGTATAGTTGAATTGATGCAATTGGAACTTGTTTCGAGGAAAAACTGAGGTAGTTATATCTTAATTTAATTAGAATTGCATATATAAGTTCATGGACTTTGCATTAACGTCTATACATGTTGTTTTAGTAATCTAAATCATGTCAGTACCATAGCGCGTATGAGGCAGATATTACCCACGGTGCTGATAGTATTCAAATTTTATCTCGTGATGTTTTTAGAATAAATCTCTTTAAGGTTGAAGAATCAAATTTGTTATATAGTATGTTTCATGTAGTGCGTTTTTTTTCGTCTTGCCCTTAAGGTATGCGTACGTAATCAATTATCAGATTAATAGATTTTTACTTTACCTAATTTGCATAAGTTTGTCGTGCGCAATATGGTACAAACATTTTTATGATGAATTTTGTTATATATAAACTTTACCACTTTAATATTGTTCCTGTAAGCACACCTTTCACGTGAATTGAATCACATGTAGTCGGTTAAATATCGAGAAATCACAAGTTAAAAATTTAAGACGTTGTCTGGCAGTATTGAAGGAGTCAACTTGATCGTACGAAAATGTGGCAAGCCGGAATCTTGATCCTTTATCTTATTCATTATGTTCATGTAAGTTTTTAAATATATAAATCAATGCTATGATTATTTAAACAAACAACTTTATCTTTGATATTTAGCTCATTATCTGTAAAAGATGTATATACAATGGTGGAAAAGGGAGGGGGAGGCTCATTGAAACAACTTCAACATTTGTGTTGATATGATGGTAAATATGCATAAACTATAAAAACATGAAAAATGCACGAATTCCAAAATCATAAGCTTAAAACCGCGAATATAAATTTTAGCAGACATCTTCTTGCTAATTTCTAATGATTCATATTGATATATTTTCGTTCTTTTTGAAACTCTTTTTATTATTATCCTTATTATAGAGAATACTGTATATAAAGATTGTATTCGGTGGTTGTCGTTTTTTGCTGTATATCATATTTTGTTTTGTTTATCATTTCGTACATAAATCAGACCGTTGATTTTTTCGTTTGAATTACGGGGCATTTTATTGCTGAGTAGTATAAGGTATCGGTTTTGCTCATTGTTAAAGGCCGTACGGTGAACTATAGTTGTTAACTTCTACGTCATTTTATTTCTGGAAGAGAGTTGTCTCATTGGCAATCATACCACATCTTGCTTTTTTACAAATATACATAAAAAGCAATTTCTTTATGAATTGAAAAAAACTAAAGAAAACAAAAGACTATAAACAAAGGTTGTCATTATAAATTTTGATTGAAATCCGTAGGTTTTTACCTGTTTGACACACACCTCATTTAGGGTAATTAAAAATATATATTTGTCAATTGACGTCTTTTTGAGTCAGTAAACCCCGAGGCCAAAATAATTGAAAAGTCCAAAACCTAATACAAACGTTGAAAGGTTGGATAATATAAATGCTCTATTTGTTGATAAAATCTCACCAATGAGATATATTTTTAAATACACATCCCATAAACTTTTCTAAGCTACATATATATCTTCTTCAATATGTGTCTTTTGCTTGTCTAAATATATTGTTTAAAGAACAAAGTTAAAGCTATTAAATACAACCATCGAAAAAACGGTTGGGCTATCTTAAACGACAGAAAGTAAAAATGAGTACCCAATTTTGCTTTAAGCTTTGGGCAAATTAAACTAAGAAGTTTGATATTTTTAAATTCAATGATAATGCGAAAATAAAAATCGTTATTAGTTTACATTTTTGTCAATTCAATTCAAATCTGTATTGTCATTTTACTTCATTTATCATGTTTATAGCAAAATAAGAATAATCAATATCAGAATAAGCCTGTCTTTACAGTTTAATGTCATACAAGAAAATAAAGAATACTACACTATTTTGTTGTAAAATTTGAATCCTCTTTTTCTCGAATGTGGCATCAATGAATGAGACTATCACAAAGTATGTTGTACTAACATGAGTAAGACGAAGGTGCCACAAGTGGTGCAGCATCTACTTAACCTTCCGGAGCACACGAGATCACCTTCGTTTTTTTATAGGGTTTATTTTTTTCAGTTTTTAGTTGTCTAGGTTGAATTTGTCTTTTAGTCGTTTTTTTTTATGTATTTTTAATGTGGTTTTCTTTTTGTCTTTGACTTATAAGATTGAATATCACTTTGATATATTTTGCCTCTCTGTTAGAAAAATACTACCCATTCAGGTAGAACTTTAATAGTTAATATGCTTGAACATTGACGTTCTATTGATATAAGTTTTAACAGTTCAATATGCGACTGTCTCCCATGATATTTTTTAGTTTTCTTGTTTGAACAGTTTTAAATTTGTCATTTCGGAGCCTATTATAGCTGACTATGCGGTATTGGTTTTAATCATTGTTGAAGGCCGTACGGTGACCTATAGTTGTTAATGTCTGTGTCATTTGGTATCTTTGGCAATCATACCACATCTTCTTATTTTTATATACCAACACTTTTGACTACTGTTGTGTGTAAGGAACTGTAAAATATTTCAGTTACCATATGAATATCAGTGTCTTTAACATAATCAGTATGTTTATCTAAAAAAGAAAGAAAACGTATTTGTCTATTTTAGGGCAAGTCTGTTATTCAAACATGTATAAAACGATAAATAAAAAGTAATATCCTAAAAATATCCATATATAAGTCCCCGTGCCTGTAGTATATACCCCTTATATATTTGCAATTAGGGGTTTTTTGCTTGTGAGAGAGCCGTCTACATATTCCATTATCATGAATTTCTGTGTCATTTGGTCTCTTGTAGAGAGTTGTCTCATTGGCAATCATACCATATCTTCTTTTTTATATAAACAGAAGAAAAACCAGAAATGATATTAGACGTTCATCGTAGTAGTCCAAAGAAGTCGTCGCATTATACTTAAAATCCAACAAATTTAATAATGTATTGAAGCTGAAGCCCCGCTTATCTATTGATTGCAGATGTCAATCTTAATTACAATGCTTGAGCAAACATTTACATAATTTATACAAACAAAGCAAGCAAGCCAACCAAACCTTTTAAACTACTAGCATTAAAAAACTAGCTATAAATGCTTGATTTGAAATATAATCTACTTCTTATGTAGAAACCTAGTAAACAAAAATTGAAAGTATATCAAAGTTTTACAAATTTATGACTGTTTTCAGATAGTCCCTTTGTATGTTTACCTTACTTTAGATTAAAATGAGGTTTAAGGATGTTCGCTACTCTGTTTCAAAATAACAAGCTTTTTAAAAGACTGTTATAAATTGATAGTATATAAATGAATAAACTCAAAAAGCAGAAAAAAATAGAGGGTCTGTGTACTTCTTTTCGAGATATAATTCATTGAAAATTTGGCGGGAAATAATTCTCTCTAGATTTTTCATACATTTAACATTGGCACCTTTTTTTCTTGCAAAAACGATGAAAAAATAACAAGGATTTTATAAGATTTTCAAAGATGACATGTTACAATGTAAACAATATGTAATTAAATTATGGAAAGAAAATGCGGGGTTAGTGGGCAAATTTTTTAATGGCACTACATGGATAAAACCAGAGGATTCCGAATATATGGCAAAAATTAAAAAAACAAGAGGAGAGAACATCCTTAATTGTCGTCTTAACGTATTTGCAAAGAAGGTATAACACTTTACTTTTATGATCGCTGGCAAGAACATAAATGCTGAAAAAGTTTTACGTTTTTACCTTTTTAGAAAATCATAAATATCCACAATCAATACAACTGAGTTTTAATGGCTGCGCGTTAACATGTTTTCTTCCAAAAACCTAATATTGCTTAGATTTAAGCCGACGTGTTAAGCTAAAAGTGTACGTGAATGAGCTACATTGTAATAAAGAACACTTGCATTACATTTTTATAAGAAAAACTTATTCAATAGTATATTGTAAAGGACTAAATGTTTGGAGAGATCAATACAATATACTATTAAAAAAAAATTCAATAGTGACACAGTACACTTTAAAGTCAAATGTTATAAAGAAATACATTTGATCTATTCACACCTGCTGCGCTCATTACCATAAATACACTTAATCCATTCACACCTGCTGCGCTCATTACCATAACGATCACTAAATAGATTTTGTGTATATTTAATCACTATAAAAAAGGATTAATTTTATCATTCTTATACTGATTAGGCGTTCACGGTACATCTCCTTTATTGTAAACGGTCAAAGACCTGATGAATATACATATGACCGCGATCTAGACGTGTATACAATGTATAACATTTACTTAATATGCGTTTTAAATACAATTTTGTTTTCGTGCATATTTGAGAACTTAACGGTACTGTAAAGAAAGAACAGGTTATTTCACATGAAAATAATGATTACACCAATAAATTATAAATTTATGGTTGATTGATTGATTGTTGTTTGCTTTGAATTCCAGTGGCAAATATTTTATGCATGTCCAAAACGATATCAAATTAACAATAACTCCAATCGATCAGTCATATAACCATGGTAACAGAGGACGTCCAGGATGAAAGTTAGGGAAATTTTGACTGCCACTGGAAAATTAGGGTATGTTTGATAGGAACAGAAATTTTGCCTTGTAGCAGGCCATCTACAGACCAACTCTTTTTCTTGCAAGGGTTTTTAAGGTGCTGAGAGCATAGCACTCTCTTTACACGAGGTATCGTCTTACTTTTGCAAGGGTTTTGATGCCGGTCGGAAAAGATCAATGTGATGATGTTTTTATTCCCCAGTGACCAGACGTGTAGATAAATAAAATTGGATTTCAAAACTTGATTTTATTTAACGCAATGAAATATGTATGCATACTTACAAACTAACACATCCTTAATCTGTATTTTACTTGCGAAACACTCTCATAATGCATATGAACAACGGCACTTTAAGATATGAGCTGACTTCACGTCCGTTGCCATGATGTAGCATCATGACGCTCTGACCATTTAATAGTCAAACTGCAATTTAAATGTCGACCTTAATTGTCTTAAATGGATTTTTTGTTTGTTCCCAGCCCCCTTCCTTCCCTGGCTAAGGTTTTCCATCTTACTTCTTGTACTCAATTTATATTGACCGTTATCTATTAGACGTGTTGGATAAATGATTACTTTTGACATGCAACAAACGAAAGTCGAGAGACGATGAAAATTTCAAAGGGGTCGTCTGAAAAGACGTATTGATTTTTTTCTATCCTTAACATGATAATGCATTATGTAAAGTCAAATGAAACATGATAAAGTAAGGATTTTATTATTTTCAGTCAATTAAATTGTGCCCTTTTTCTACCAAACCAGTGCAAGGTTTATCAATCTGGTTTATTTTCCTGCGCGGATGACGTCACATTGTACCAACTAATTTATGACATTTAAGTCTGCAAATAGCATGTTCGACATTAACTCTGCATTCTCCAGTGCGACGACTTAGCTTCTGGCATTTAAAATTAGAACGATCTCTTCTTGTTTTATGACTTAAAATTTGTGTCGTTTGTAAGTCGTCGTTATTAGATAACGGTTAGCACATATTTTATCCTCTAGTATGAAAAGCTTCTCTGAGAAATCAATTTGAAGTCCGTGTCCTATTTCTGGCATCGAGTTGAATTGTTGTGCATCATTTTGATGGCCCAGGAAATCGCTGCGTACACGTCGTATGTGATTTTGGTTGTTAATCAAAATCTGGTTGCAAATACAGTCAATATGTCTGTGTCCGGAATAAAACTGTTCTTGTGGCTCATTTTGCGATAAATTGTATGAGATGTACCGTCTACTGCCGCCAATGCAGACCTGGCCATCACCCTTGCAAGCACAACTTCAATATACGACGGCAAATCCAATTGAAAAACATCTCCCACAACAACGGTACTATACCATCAATTGTATGTGACAAAGTGAATGAAAAACACCAGACAACAAATACATATTCGAAATACACGGATATGTTCTTAGCCACAAGATTACCATCAAAAGGCGATTTCTGGGAGATTAGTTGCATTTGACCGATTGATAAGGAAGCAAGTGCCAAAATTTGCAAAGGCTTTTGGTATTGACGATTCAGAATCTGATTCTGATTCTAATTAAAATAAACAGAATATCCTAGTATATGACTCGTTTATTTTTTTTTTAATATATCGCTATGTCATAAAGACAAATATGAATATAATACAGACGTTCTCATTCATGACTTGTAGGTTGAGTCTTTTGTCTGAACTACAAAACATTATCGTCGAGTGAGATAGCATTGGCGGTTCCAGGAAGGGGAGTGTTTCCGGGGGTTGGAACTCCTCTTTGTCTTCCGATGTTTTTTTTCAATTATGTGAACGTTGCATGGTGTTGCGGGTGTTGGAGTCCTCCCCTTAAAAAAAATGGTTGGATCTGCGCCTGGGTAGCAATGTTATAAAGTTATTATTTTACCGAGTAGCTCAATAGTTATTATACTGCTCATCTGAGATGGTCATTAATTTAAATGTCTCAACTATAGACACTCGACTCTCAATTGTCAACAATAGTTATTTATTTAATATGTATAATTAACAACATTTAGAAACTCATCAGAAATAAGTCAGTTAAACATTACACGGAGTTTACAATAACAATAAAAATCGACTGTATCATCAATTTGAGGCAAACATGGTTTTAAGCTAGGTTAATCTTTTTGCCGAAATGTGGCCTTGAATTGAAATGAAAATACTAGTAACCAAATATATCGAAAGGCCATACTTTTAAATTGGTTCTCAAATGGGTATATATATTTTCAAAACCCCTAAATGCCTAATGAACCAATTGTCTTCATAAGAGTAGAGTAAAGGCGCCAAAATGAATCAAGATCATAGTGTGCACTTTGCATCTTCCGCAAAAAAAAATCAGTTGTTGAAACCTAGAGTCCAGTATGTTCTGTTACAAACATATCCAACTATCGCGGTCATCACGTGACTTTTACATGTCAATTGTTTATCATTAAAGGCCGATCGTTTTATCAAGGAATATGAACGGGCCACATAGATTGGACGATCGTAGCCTCTTTTCTGTATTGGGTTATTTTACCTTCCAACCCAGCGTAATAAAGATTTTTCTTATTTACAATTAAATATGTTCTTAATTTCAGTTCAGAAACATGATTTCTTGCTACAAATTAAGTTTGAAAATCGAAGTGCCATAACCACACAGCCTTCGTTAACCTCTTCCTTAACACTCGATACATTAGCAATGGGACCTTTTATATGCCTGTACCAAGTCAGGAATATGACAGTTGTTGTCCATTCGTTTGATGTATTTTGTCATTTGATTTTGCCATGTGATTAGGGACTTTCCGATTGAATTTCCCTCGGAGTTCAGTATTTTTATGATTTTACTTTTTTTTTTCATATCATCAATTTTCTCAAATTATGTGTTGTAAATAATATCCTTCCAACCCCTAAACAGATCAGAAATATATATATAATGCAAATATATAATTTACTAAGGGATCTTTTTTAATTGAGTGTAATATTTAAGTACTCTTGAACTGTTATATTCATATATATTTGCATTTCTAATATAAATAAAAATACTATTTAATTTTTGTTAACCACAGACAGGAAATGATCCACGTTGTCCAGTATTGAACCGTAGTGTGAGATGCAAGAGTTACCTAAAAGTTGATCAATGTCAGACAGATACCAACTGTCATGGTGGTTAGTAATAAACATATCTTACACAGATACCAACTGTCTTGGTTGTTAGTAACTAATATATCTTACACAGATACCAATTGTCATGGTGTTATTAATTTACATATATATCAATCTTAAGCTAGATTTGGAGGCAATGTTATCTTAATATAGCTGTTAACAATAATTCGTCAAATGCATTTTATGAATATCGAGTACTCTAAAATTAAAAAAAAGTAGAAATGCAAAGTTCTCATAGAAAATTTCCCATAATGTACACGATATTCATTATAGAGAAAAAGTGAACAGTTTTATATCATTTGACATTACTGAAAAAAGCTCCAAGCTTCAAATACATGTAAAGAAATGAAGTACATTGATATTAAACGAACTTGAGATAAAAGTTACAACAGATACAGCCTCATATCTTGACATACATCTAGAAATTGACAATGAGGGTCGGTTGAAAACAAAACTTTATGACAAAAGAGATGATTTCAGCTTCCCATTTGTGAACTTTTCATTTCTATGTAACAACATTCCAGCAGCGCCTGCATACGGAGTATATGTCTCCCTGTTGATACAATATTCAAGGGCTTGTGTTTCCTGTCACGATTTCCTTGAAAGAGGGTTGCTACTCACAAAGAAGCTATACAAACCAAGAGTTCCAAGTGATGTAGTTGAAATCACCCCTTTGTAAATTTATTGGCGGCTATCATGAGTTGGTTGACCGTTATGGAATATCTGTTTCACAGATGACAACGGAAATGTTCCAATTGTCATAATGAAAATCTCGTCCCCTTCCCAAGAATGTGACTACCGAATTAGATATATAACCGGGTTTGTACTTACAAGAGCAACACGACGGGTGCCACATGTGGAGCAGGATCTGCTTACGCTGAGATCATCCCCAGTTTTTGATGGGGTTCGTGTTGCTTAGTCTTTGAGTTTCTATGTTGTAATGTGTACTGTTGTTTGTCGGTTTGTCTGTTTGTATTTTTTTTAGCCATGGCATTGTCAGTTTATTTTTCGACATAAAAAAAGTTAAATCACAAAAACACTTAACTCCGAGGAAAATCCAAAACGGAAAGTCCCTAATCAAATGGCAAAATCAAAAGCACAAGCACATCAAACGAACAACTGTCATATTCCTGACTTGGTACAGGCATTTCCTTATGTAGAAAATGGTGGATTGACCCTGGTTTTATAGCGCTAAACCTCCCACGTGTATGACAGTCGCATCAAATTAAGTGTTTGAATGTCCCTTTTGGTATCCTTCGCCTCTCTTTTAACTATATTGTGCTATTTTGTGGCGGTCAGTTTTTTTTAGTGAGGATGACAGATTGCCCAGAAATAACAACCGACCTTCGGTAGGAAAACTGACAATCATTGTCAATTGAGATTGGAGTCGAACGAACCTGCCACAAGCGGGATTCGAACTCACAACCTCAGTGTTGACAGGCCAAGGACACAGTAGTTCGACTACTTAGACATATTAGATAGATGTAAACAAACTAGAAATTATGGTGACAAATTATTGAATTCTACTTTCATATATGGTAGATTATTTGATATCCGATCGGTTAACCACATCCCCTTTTGGTCACATTCCATTTGTTACATATGAATGTGCTTTTATTGATGACATCAGCCATTGATTGAAATACAATGTTTTAAAGAGTTGTTAACCAACACTGATCATTAATTATGTTTAATAACATTGCCATATAAGCGGTAGGTTTGGCTAGCCATAAAACCAGGTTTTTCTTAAAATGTCCTGTACCAAGTCAGGAATATGACAGTTGTTATCAAATATCTATGTATGTTGGCGTTTGTTTTTGTTGCACTTCAGTGTTTCTGTTATTCCTTCGTTTTCCTCTTATAGTTAATGTGTTTCCCACAGTTTTAGTTTGTACCTCGGATTAATTTATTCTCAATCGATTTATGACTTTTGAACAGCGGTATATTACTGTTGCCTTTATTTATGTTACTTTCTTCCCAGTAATTTCTCTTGTTTATTTAGTGCAGCAACTAATGGGAAACTAATGGTCATAGTTCGTTTAGCAATATTACAAACTAAACATTTGGAATGTATGAATTTTCATTATTTATATTTGTTTGATTTATTTGTTGAATATTGCTTGCTTAACTAATAGTTATTTGAAGAATTATATATATATAACAAAACATTTATAAAAGAAATATATAACTACAGCTGCTCAGGTCAAGTAGTTAATTCAAACGAACCCTAGACAGTATCATTTTCTTTCTGATAGAATGTCTTGAAAACCGTAATAGTTTCTTTCACCTGATTTGATACAGTTAAACCGACTTATGAGTAAGATAAATTCCACTTAATAAATGTCATCACTTGCAATGATGTCTTATATAATAACATGAATGAGTCACGAGTTTTTCCTGTATTGTATGTACAAGAACATGTATCTCTTAGTTAGCCATTCAAGACACACCCATTGTGCATGAAATGTTAAAACAATGAAAATAGCACTTTATGAATTATGTGGGTCCGTACCGCTTTTCTGGATTTATCTTCATCGGGAACGCTCATAGCCAAACATTTGAAAGCCAATAATAAAAGTTCCGAAACATATGATGAGCAACACGACAAAAACGGACAGATTGGAACGTTACTGACTTCATCGAATATACATTATTGCATCCATTTTTTATTGCGATTTTTTAAAGAATTGTTAAAAATGCGAGATTAATTATTGCGCTGTCAGAAACATTTGCATAGAGATATATGTTTCTGATGCGAGTTATTATCAATGAGATACTGTAAATTCAGAAATAATTGCGATGTTTTTATTATTCCGATATATGCGACAGGATTTTAATCGCAATAATTTAATCTCGCATTTTGAAATTTTTTATATGAATTCAATAGGATTTTTCCCAATATCGCAAAAATTAAAATCGCATTTAAGTCTAAAATGACAAAATCGCAATAATTAATGCACGCTATATATTCTGAGTTTACAGCTCAACCAGTCGCATTATTCACATTTAAACTCACAATAATTTCTGAATTCAAAGTAATTGATTCATTATCATGTGATGGATATTTTAGATGTTTACATGTATTAGCATGCACTTTATTTTTAATCTGAGAATGTTTTATATGATAAATGGCTTCGAAACGCAATAATTGTTGAATACTTTGTTTTTGTTATTTTCTAGGCAAAGTATGTTGTCCACAAAAATGTGGAAAAGACTGCGTCACCCCAATCGTAAGTAATGTTCATTTGAAGTAACGAAAAAAATATCTGCTTTAATTGCCAATAAGGAAGGAATTCATATACATTAACTTTATTGCTGAAATGACCTAGACCATTACCTGTATATTAATTCATTTGAACGGTAGTATGTGATTTATCGAAAGTAAAAGATTAAGAGAGCATTAAAAGAAAAGCATTGATACAGTCTTTGTACATACTTAAACATTTTTAAAGCATTGCCAATTTTTTTTTTACAAATCTATTCTCTACAAATTTCATACATTTATCGCAAAACATTTATTTTATTAACTATGATAAATGCAAGAATTATTTCAAGACCACAAAAGTATATTTTCGTAAAGTCTTATATTTTTTTCTAATTCTTATAAGCAACAAGAATATCACTATTACCTATACTCATTCCTTTAGTAAGTAAAACAAGAAGTAAATGGGAAGTTTAGGGTATATCGGATATTAAACTGTACAGTCTCCTCAGATCTTAGCCTGAACATTGAATCACAGTTAATGTTTTTGTTTTTGAAGACTTTACTGTTTACTAAAAAAAATCTGGTAAAATCTACATGGATGTTCAAGGATAACTCGTGGCAAGTATAACCCGTTGCAAGGATAACCCGTGACAAAGTTAACCATGCCTGCCTTATCCAGTGATAGGCACTCAAAAATATTCGATCCAACTTCCAATTCAACAACTCACTTTTAAGAACAAATGTCATTAGCCTTTTCGATCTATATTTAGATAGTTATATTACGTCCTAAACGTACACTTTAAAATGTTACCGCTAGACACAGGCTGACCACATTAGTTAAACACAATTAAGAACAAATACATTTTATGTCCAGCTAGTCACTTAAATGCTGACTCTACATGGTAACCTGCTATATTTCCACATTTGATGGGAGAACGACATTTCGAAATATTCGATATCTTATTCGATCTTCATATTCAAAATAAACTTGTTTCCTTAACAAATACTTTTATTTAATTTTTTTTATTGTAGCCTGCAAAACCCAGACCAGGAGTGTGTCCATCAGTTCCGAAGGACGTACCAGAAATTTGTAAACGTATTCGTGTGATTTCTAACTGTCATGTTGACACAGACTGTAGAAGTAGTAAGTACAATTTGCCAGTAATTCAATCTAATTAAAATACAGATCATGTGTCTCATGCTGCGTTCACACGTAATTCGAATTCGATTCGCATTAACTAATTCGAATTAGTTTAATTCGCATTCGAAACGTTTAACGTCCAAATGTAAATTCTAATTCGAATTGCAATGCGCGTCAAAATCGCTTTACTGTCCTAACGACGTTAACTTTAGTTCGTATTAACAAAAACGCATTTCTAATGCGAATTGGATAATGCGATTTAGCCAATTCGAATCAATTCGAATTAAAAAAGAAGAGTGTGTGAACGCGATTAGCGAATTCGATTCACATTCGATTCGAATTCAATTCGAATTAAATGTACGTGTGAACGAGGCATAAGCTTTGCTTACAAAGGATCTTGAAAAATCTATAAAAGTCGTGGTCATTAAACGGAGTATAGTATCAAACGATCTGAAAATCTCTTTAAAGTTGATGATAATTTTACAACTATCAAGACGAGTTTAATAAACAAATTGAAACGCATTGAAAATATAAAAAAAACCCTAACATTGTTTTATCTTTTCATGTATTTTTCTCGTGCTCCATGCTTCTTGTGTTGATTATTTATCAAGGTCACGATTCGGTAAATATCGGCAACATAACCAGAAGTTTTATTAACATCCAAAGTTTATGATCAACAAACCCAGCAAGAAACATTTGATTGTCGATTATACGTTATACGTTAAAGATCCGGAATAAACCTAACAAAATCCACATAGGACTTAGTATAGTCTACATTCATGCATTGATTTTATTATTTACATTATAATAAACAAACAATCGATTCAAAAGACTTTAAATGTCTGAACAATAAGAAATTTTCATCAAGTATTATTCAGATATTTCATTATGGTTAATACAGCTGTAACATAGCACAAGTAAAATATGTTTACAGCACCTCCGAAAGCTCTGTGATCACTGATAACTACAGGAGTGAATCGATATAAAACATTTTCGATCAAAATGATTGTCTCGTTTGAAAAATTGTTGGCATGGGAAATAGATCAATCCCATCTGTTAGCAATTTAACTGGAATGTCATCAACATATATTTCTAAACATGCTAGACATGTATTCAATTTATCAACAAACGGTATTCTTCGTTTTGAGCACCTGTGAACTCCAATGTTCTCATTTTTTATCACGTCTAACGACTTCTAACAAATATTGCCACTTGCACCGAATTCCTGTATGAAGAATAACTGCTTTATCTAAGATTCGTATACGTCTTGATTCTACGTTTCCAAGGACTAATATTAACTATGATAGAAATATAATTTGTTAAGCTAGCTAACGTTTTCGATGATATTATTTGTAATTGCAATTCATTAATTTGTTTGCCTTTCATCTACCCGATGCTTTGCTAATGATTTTGTATTTTATACTTCAGGTAATCAAAAATGTTGTAGACAATCATGTGGAAATTTTGCTTGCACTGATCCTATAAAAGTATGTTACTTCTATTATTCAAACAGTCTGTAGGAAAATAAAAAATGGAAGTTATAGGCTATAGGTTTATGTAAAATAGACAACACATTTTTTTTTGTTTTCAATATAATGGCACTATCAACAAATGTCACAGAAGTTGGAGGTTTAGCTAGCTATAAAGCCAGCTTTAACCTACCGTTTTCTATACAAATGTTCGGACTGAGTCAAGAATAAACTTAGTTATTTTCCATTCGTTCCGTTGTTTGATATGGTCGAGCGTTTGAATTTGCCAGGTTTAATGGACTTCCCTATTTTTAATTTACCTTGGAGTTTTGTATTTTTGTTTATACTTGTCTATTGCACAGAGAAAAAAAACAATGACGTGTAAAGCAACGGCTGGCAAAGCTTTACACAGACATTTGAAATTTAGTAACAAGAATCCAACATAAAACCGTAGTGTACTTGATTGTTCCAAATGAATTAATACTACCTGTTCCCACCAAGTGTGTGTTAAGATACAAAAAAAAACCAATCATATCTTACCTCCTATACATTTCTAGGAATATCATGGGTTGAAAACGACCGCGTGGAAACCCTGTATATTTAGTAGTATATTTATGGGGTTAGTAGGCGTGGTTCATTTTAATACACGGTTCCAATATAAAATCGCAGTGTACTCCGTTGTCCCGGAAATGTCAAAACTACCTTTTGCCACCAAATTTCTCTGTTTAAATACCGTAAAGAATCATATCTGGTAAAGAGGCGACACATAGGAGCGGATTGGTAAATGTATCGTATATGACCCTTACACATAACAAAATTTATGAACCATCGATAATGTAAATTATCTATCTCTATACTTGACTATACAAAATATAATGAACTAAATAGTGCTAATGTCACCAATGAGTCTTCAACGCAGCGGAACAGTTCCGCACCGGAGACGCGCTTCAACTGACCCCGAAACAATAATGTATACTAGTTCAGCGAAATGGTCGCCACACCGAAACATATAAATGAACCAAAATTGAAAAACACACAAGAATAACAAAAGCTAGAGGTTCCTAACTTGGGGCAGGCGCATAAATGCGTCAGGATAAAACATGTAATGTGAAATCTGAACCCTCCTCGTACCTACTAAGAAGGATTTGGCAATTACTTTAGGTCATTGTTGATTATATACCTCCTCAACTGTTTGGGATTTATACATCCTTTGCTTTCAAATATTCTGCTTTGAGCGTTCCTGATGAAGGTATATTCAGAACAGCGCTTCGGACGCATTAATTTATATAGTGTTGTTTTCATGTTCTACCCAACGTTTTCAACAATTCTAAACATAAATAAAAAAAACCAACAACAAAAAAACCGACACATTCACACACAAAAATGTTAAACTAAAACTGATGGGTTATTAGAAAACGGGTTTTGGGAGGAAAAGATACACTTTTTTGACAATGCATCACATTTAATTGTGTTTTCGAGAAAATAACTATCATTTTTGGTATATTTGTTTTGTCGATTTAAACATCATCTCATCCTCATGATCATTGTTTTCGTATCTTTTAATTTAAATAATGCCAGATATGCAAGAGAAGACCCAAATTTCAATTACAACTATTGAAACTCTTTTTGTTATTACATATTTTACATTCAAATTGTTATGCAATGGTTACCAAAATTTTATTTTATGATTATTCGAATACAAAAGAAAATCAACTTCTGAGAAACAAAGACGAAATTATGCTTTTAAAAGTAAGAAGAAACTTTATTCGCTCTGCTGTTTTTTAACAAGCACTAAGGGACTGGTCATTTGTAAATGAATGTATTTGATAGACTAGAGACATTGACTATGACGAAATAGAAACAATGTTCCTTCAATATACTGATCTGTTTTAATATTCAATAGGGTGAACGTCCTGGATGTCCAGTTTGTTTCCAAAACCAACCTAGCACAGACTGTCCTGTGTGTGTTCATTTCCAGCAGCTGTGTTACGCAGATACAGATTGTAAAACAGGTCAGCGTATTGTTGTATATAAAGTAGGTCAAGGCTAAAGCTTTAAAAATGAACAAGTCAACAGGGAAAGCATCTGTCTCAAATTGTGATTTTACTGTTTAAAAAGCATTTCTCCATTTTATGCCAACGTCTTAGAAGACAAATTTATAATAATCCAATTTCTAATATACTTAAGGTTTCAATAAATGTCTTCATTAAAGTTGAAATATACGATTTACAAGGATGGTTTTCATATACAGTGTACAGTGTTCTACTTTTAGTTACAAGCACATGATATGCACCTCTATGATTACCTGCACATGCCAAATAAATATAATTTGACAAGCAACCCTAAGACTACAAGAACTTTATTTATGATATTTTGCTTGCCAGTTTTTGGCATGATTCATTGTGACACATGCTTCTATACAACCTTTATATACTATCAATATTTTTCAAGCAAGATTATTTGTTGACATTAAGTAACATTCTTCAACATTTAAGTTTGTCTCAAAAACTGTTTATCGCTTACTATGATGATAAAATATGAGTTTGCACTTTAAACTTAAGGATATGCTCTTCTTTCTACGGTAATACATGGTATTTCGCTTGCTGATGTCACGCAACTGTAATGTGTATCGTTTTGAAATTAACAACACAAGGCAGTTAAGTTCAAAGGTCATGTCTGATCTCACCTACCTTAATAGATAGGTTTTAGTAGGTTTCCGGAAAATAATGATAATACTGCTTGATCAAAGTATATGTTGTTATGTTACACTATTGTTTCAGATAAGGGTGAAGGTTTGGTACCATTAAAACGTTTAAACCCGCTGCAATTGTTTTCACCTGTCCTAAGTCAGAAATCTAATGTTCAGTAGTTGTCGTTTGTTGATATGGTTCATAAGTGTTGAAAACCGTACTTTGACTTATAATGGTTTACTTTTATAAATTTTGACTTGGATGGAGAGTTGTCTCTTTGGCACTATAACCACATCTTCTTATATTTATCCATAATATTTGATGGTTTTGACATATTATTGTTTAGGAGTTATGCCCCTCAGATAGGTAAAAAAACCTGTGTTACATTGAAAACTTGTATTTCTTTGGTTTGCGGATAATAACTAAAGTACGACATGTACTTGACCAAATCTTTTGAAATTTGACCACAATGTCATACATCATAAAATCTGGCCATGTTTAATTTAAAAGATTTTTATATATTATTCAAGATTATATCCCTCAATAACACTTAATTTTTTAATAATTTCCGGATGAAAATTAGGAGCCAAAAAAAAAATGTAAATTTGAACACAATGTTATCGGTCTACAAGTCAAGTCAAATTTTGATGGTTATCCCCATTAATCGTTCCAAAGATACCATAAAAAATATGGTTATATCCAGATGATAATTTAAGGGGCATGAGCTGTTAAATGTACGTTCCCGATTTGGTCCAAATTCTCATATTTTATTTATAACGTACTAAAACGAATTTCTTAATTACAAAAAGTCCAAAAGAAGAAAATAATAATGCATGTGTTCGGT